CATCCAGGGCTGCAGTCTCTTATGGTTCTCTATGCTTTGCCGCTCCTCCTCCCCCATACCCCAACCCTCATCAATATCCTCCTCTCCCTGTGCCTACTCTATCTTCCCATTCCAGGCCGCTCCCCCACATAGATGCTACCTCCTCCTTGCTCAAGCTCTGACATACTATCCTGCTGACTCTCTTTGGGAAAGCCCTCATCATCCTGTTCAGGATCTGACACCTCCAAGTCGGCTACCCCTCTACAGGAATGTCCTTCACGCTGCTTGGGCTATGACTCCACACATGGATGCCCACCTAACCTTGCTCAGGCAATGACACCCCATTCTGGGTGCTCCCTCCTCGACACCCTGCCCATGGATCGCTGCTTTGCTCTGCCCCACCTAGTAGCTTTAAGACTGAATTGTGCAGAAACGAAAGAGGAAGGACAATAAAGCAATACTACAGGATCTTAATAACTATAGCTTTATAATAAGTTGTGATATCTGGTAGGACAATTTCTTCTTGTTCTATAGTTCTTCTTCAGGACTGTCTTGACTACTCTTGGTCTTCTGTTCTTCATCAATTCCTTCTTTATTTGCAGCTTGCTCTTGAATATAATTATAATCTTTGCCTAGCCTTTGCACTTTTATAAAATATTTTTGAGCAGAACAGCTTTTGTCACTTAATATAAGGGGTTTTCTCTTTATCACTTTCACTAGAAGTTCCCAGTAAGAAATTTCTGTTAATGATGCAATATAGAACTCCCTCTGTTTCTGCCTTGAACGGGTCTCTAAACTAGATTTCAGAACCATCAGAGGCTTCATGTAAGCTGTGACATTTGGACTGGATTAGACTTTGAAAGAGGGACTTTCTATTGGTGGTACTCTCAGCAGGGGAAAAATAAATACATGGCAAAACTACAAAGAAAAACAATTGGATGGAGAGGTCTGGAGCTCAGAGAAAGGGTCAGAGTTGTAGATTCAAATTTGTGAGATGCAGGTGTGTAGCTGGCATTTACAGCCATGGGACTTGATCTATCTACCTGATTAAGTAGAGAGGAGGGCTGCAGTTTAAGTGCTGGGATACTCCAACATGAAATTAATCAACTTTAGAGGTCAAAAAGTAGAAGTGAGCCAGGTATGGAGAAGGAGCAGTGAAGAAAACCAATGAGAGAAAGAGCAGTGTCCTGGAAGCAAGCAAAGAAAGCATTTCAAAAAGCTGGTAAATGGCAGGATAAGAATCAGAATTTTTCATAAGATGTGGAAAGATGGATGTTGTTGACAACATTGACAAAAGATGTGTCAGTGCAATGTGTAGTATCGAAAGTCGGAGAGGAGTGAGATGAAAAAAAGGAGGACTGTTCCTTGCTGATGCCACAATTCGTCCCCACCTCAGTCTTTACAGTTGCTGCCTCATCTGCCTAAAACACTATTCCTGCATACCTTTCCATGCACCTGAACATCCTTTATGTCATGGTACAAGTCACTTCCTTCAAGAAGCCTTCCCTCACCATGCTAACTAAAATAATCACCCTTAATTACTCTCTAGCCCCTTATCTTGCTTTCTTTTCTTCACAGTGCTTATCAATACTTGAACTTCTTTTGTTTAATTTGTTTGCTTGTTTGTCAGTCTTCCCCACAAGACTGTAATAAATTAATGAATAACATGTACAAATACTTCTTTTTAAGGATAACTTGCACATTTTTTTAAGATGCATCACTCTTGGCAGATTTTCCACTACATGAAGTTAATTCAATGGATTATTTATAACCTCATTGACTACAGATCTCTCACAGTGAGAAATCTGCAATATAGCAACAAAGAAGGTACATAACTTTATAACCCTTTCATGAGTAATGGGATACATACACTTGGCCACCTACGTTTTCCACCTCAAGTTTCCTGGGAAGTGACTTTCCCACTTTTAGCGCATGCTGTCACCAGTCAGGGAACTGTATAGCTGTTTGAAATGTAAGAAATGGGAGTGTGCCACAGATTACTGTTTTTACAGAGTACTGTACGAGGTGTTAAGGAGCCTTGGTGGCACAGTGGTTAAAGCAATTAACTGCTAACTGAAAGGTCAGCAGTTTGAAACCACCAGCTGCTCCGCATGTGAAAGATGTAGCAGTCAGCTTCCGTAGAGATTTACAGCCTTGGAAACCCTATGAGGCTGTTGTGAGTTGGAATCAATTTGATGACAGTGGGTTTGGGTATGAGGTGTTACATCTTAGCGGTGTGATTTGTGTAAAACTTTTGTCTCTTTTGGCTTTTGTACAGCAAGTTAAGCCCTGTAAGTGTATTTCCAGGCTCCTGTGTGTTATTTGGAAGTTGTGTTTCTCATAATGATTTCATGTTCGAATGAACACATCATTTTCCGGTGCCATATGTTGTACATACCTGTCAAGCGATACAGAAGGTGATGCAGAGTCCAGAGGGACATATGTGCCCTGCATAATATATATAAAAATCCATATTTCATAACAAAATTTCAGAAATTCTCTTTGATTCAGCATTCCATTATTGAAAACACACGGTTATCAATAAAAAAATTTTTTTTAATTTAATTTGTACATGAAAGGGATAATCATTTGGCAAATTCCCTTTACTGTCATTCTTCTGTCACAAAGTTCCCTATAGTTCTTTGTTTCCTTGGTTACAATCCATTACGTGGTTTTCTCACAGAACCAACCAAAACCAAAGCTACTGTCGTTGAGTTGATTCCAACGCACAGTGCCTGATAGGACAGGGTAGAAACTGCCCCATAGGGTTTCCAAGGAAGCCGACTGCCATAACTTTCTCCCACAGAGCAGCTGGTGGATTCTAACTGCCAACCTGTTTCAGTTAGCAACTGAGCACTTATCCACTGCGCCACCAGGGTTCCTTTCTCTCAGAACATCTTCACTATAACCTTACTTTACAGAAAAATTGTGTTAGTAAAATTAATATAATTCTCACCTTCAATTTTTTTTTTTTTTTTAATAAAGAAGGCAAAGCATGCCCTACATATAGCTAGGTCAACCCCAAAGTTCTCAGGGAAACAAAAGTTGTAGAATATTTTAAACTATATACTTTAGTTCAATCCTTGTCACAATGGAAACCGAAACTAGTGGTATGTGACATGCCTGCGAGGCAGTCCACAAGTGAACTCTAAACCTCTGACTCCTAGCCCTTTGTAAAGTTAGAGAAAGACATCTGGTAATTAACAAGGTATAAGTGAACAACGAAAATGTCCTAATTGTTAGACTTTACAGGCTGTACTTTTGCCATTTTGTAATGTACCACTCCACTTCTGGAAACCTTATCTGTTGAGTCTTTATTTCATTTAGTGGCTCTATATCCAGATCAAATAGAGGGAGACAGGATTTTGTTTTTAGAAACTCTCTGGGGAGTATTTGCCAATATCTCTGGGGAGGACATAAAAAGCCTCTATGCTTAAGTCCATATTAATAATCTGTTAACTGGTTTTATAACTTTACAGTAAAGTTCTGTCGTAGTGTGTCATTAACAAGAATTATAGTAATCTTACCTTAAGATGCACTTCTATATAGTAATTAAAATAGTTACCAAAATTATTGATACACCATGTTTTGTTATGTATATTTTCACCATAATTAAAGAAAAAAAATATATGTATATATATATTTACCAGATGGTAAACACGTTTGGTGTACTGAAAGTATCCCTCCTACTTAATTTTGTTTTGGGAAAGGGGGTATAGCAAGTAGGTGATTGAAGGATGGGTGTTTTGGAAGATCTATTAAACCTACAGGCAGGCTAAAAAAAGCAAATGTGGCTGTAGGAGTAAAGAATAAGAATTTTCTAGTGGCATCCCTGTGGTCTGATACTGAGCAGCTGCATGATTAGCTTCAAATAAACTGAGCAACCAGGAATAGAGAAGTGAAAAAAAGGTGAGTTCAGCCTTACTGTTAAAAATACTTTTCAGTGGGAGAAAAGTCATCAAATATTTATTGACTGTCTACTTCTTTGAGTGCATTTCAAAGGTCAGTGGAATGACTCGAATACCTCTACTTTATAAAACTGAGAGACAGAGCATTTCTTCTAACATCTAAAACCATTCATTCATTCAACAAATATGTTCTGAGTGCCTATTATGTGCTAGACACCATTCTAGGCATTAGGGATACAGCAATAAATAAACCACATAGAGCTTACATTCTCAGTGGAGAGAGACAAACAAGGTAAATAAGTAAATGACAATATTTTAGAAGTATTATAAGAGCTACATACAAGTACTCAGCCTACAGTAAGTACTATGGAGAAAAAGAAAGCAGGAAAGGGAAATAAGATACAAGTATTCATTGCAAATGACGTATCTGTTTTAGGCAAAATTTATGACAGAATAGATGTTATAATGTAATGAGATTCTTATAATCAATATTCTCTTTATAAATATTCCATTTTATAGGATATACAACATAACTTTAAATATTTTTAAGTTAATTTTTAGTTTATTGCCACTCTTAGAATATATTACTGGTTATATTTATCATTTATTTGATAACAAATTCTTCATCAAGAATATAATCTATAATGAATTAACACCAGCCCCTTTGGATAGCGTTTTATGAAGTGGTATTAAGGAAGAAACAGTTTTTCTTTCTTTCTTTTTTTTTTTTTTGAGTCCAACTAAATTGTGAAGCTTTCAACAGTGAACCAAGGGATTTCAAGTGGCAATGATTTTCAATTCTAAAAAACATAATTAGGTCCCTCTGTACTAAATTCATATTATGGAACCTAAATCAAATACAAATCAATTTTGGTCATTAGCAGATAAATGAAGAAGTAACGATGCTTGACTTTTTTTTCCTTTATAACTTGAAACTGAATTCTAAAAACTAATACTCTCTAGCAAGAGCTCATTTCCGATAATAAAAAAGATACCAATTTTACAAACTAAAATTTATATAAACTACTTAATTTTATTATGTTTTAATTGCCTAGTACTTTAATTTGAGTAAGAAGCTTACAAATGTAAACTGAAAGGCAGAATGAAGCTTACCTTTAGGCTGGTATTAGAACGTGGTTGACTTAAATCCTGAAATTTCCACTGCTCTGATCCAGGGGTCTCACCTCCTTTCTGAGTGTCAGGTGTAAGCAATCCATCTCCAGCAGGCAATGAGAAAAGCCCTAAAGATATAGGGCGTTCTTTTCTATTTGGAGAGGGAAGAAAAAAATTAATCATTCCTTCTTTTTTTTTTGTCATGACTAAGTAAGCCTGGACTGTCATTGCTTCAGAATCATCACTCTTAAATAATACTGTCTGTCCCTCTGAACAAGCAGACTTACCAAGGAGAAAGGACAGAGTCTCAGAAGTTTAAATTAGCTCTAAGAAATCACCTAAGAAAAGTGGTAGTCAATGGTTTAGGAAATCCTATAACTTACTGATGAGCTCCTTGCCCAGGAATCAATCTGCTGTCTGGTTTCACGGCAAGAAGAGCTGCCAAGTTTTCACTAGGCAAACCTGCAACCCACAGCTGCCTCCCCCTTTGGAAGTGACATCAACACCTGCTTCTAGATTTCCTAAATTCTCACACTATTCTCTGAATGTTTACCAATGCTTCTTCAATGTATGTCTTTCCTGCCTACAAGAAAATCATATACTATCTAAATCAGGGCTACTGATTATAAATAGTAAAAAAAAAAAAAAAAACTTGAAAGATTTTTATCTCCTCTAAAGCAGAAAAAAATCTTGATTTTTCTACAGAACCATAATATATGTTTCTTTCAGATTCAGTACATATGAGAAAACCACTGTCAGTTTTTTCCAAATATGGAGGCCAGAAAATTCCTTAAAAAAAAAAAAAAAAAAAAGATTGCAAAATTTCCATTGTTTTGTGGGAAATTTCAATGCACCAGAGTTACAATTTTAACAATAATGGAATTTCAACAAGAAACACATCCTTTGTTGATACACAGAAGATACCAAGTCAAAGGGCTTTCAGAGAGCAGAAATGAGCCTCCTAACAGGTCACCCTGGGTCATTAACTCACAACTGTGGAAACCGGGAAGAAATGAGTTTACACTAAAGGTTTGGGGCCTCCTGGGACCCACACCTCTACTGGTAAGAATGTAAGTTAGAAGAGAAACAATAAGGTTATAAATAAAAGCGGGAAAATACTCAGTTTTGCTAAATAAGCCTTTTATTCTTTAAGCTCATTTTTATACCAAAGAAACTTAAGCCGCTTTTGAAAAATGCCCTCACATAACACAAAGGATGTGCTCCTCCATTCCTAACAACAATCAAAAAGGATTACTAAAACTGTCAGAATGCAGTCTTAAAGATTAGGTGAAGCAAAAAGGGTGAGAGATTTTATTAGAGTTGTATGCACAAGAAAATAAAACAGAAAACAGGACTTCTCTCTATCAGTTAATTATTTATCACTTCTTCATACTTGGAGTACTTTTCCCTACTTGATTTGGGAGAAAAAATCAAATGCAGGTAGGTAGCATGATAAGAGGCTAGACTTTAACACCAAATCTAAGTTTGTGACTACAAGCCAGAACAACCAAATGACAAAAAAAGTAACTAGCCAGCTACTCTGTTTACACCAGTTATTCCCAAATGCTGGTCAGCAACAAAGTTTTCATGAGTCCATGTCAAAAAGAGGCATTATTTATATCCTTATTGGACAATATAGTATACAACAAACACATACACATTTCCATATAAGGTAGAACCTATTATTTTGTGAGAGTGACTGCCCTTTATCTTTATTTTAAACTACATCTTTTCCACTTCTTTGACCTTAAAATGCCCTTTCACTCATCAAATGATGGTGACAGTAATTGGTAGCTGGATTTTTTTTTTTTTTTCCAACGTCTATACTTGATAAAAAAAAAAAAAAAAAAAGTGGGCAACCTGGTGTTGATCCCTCAATTTTGGTGGAACATATTTCTAAAATAGAAAATCTAAGGGTCTAAGAGCTACTAAACTTGGCTTTTTTTTTTTTTTTAACATACCTTACAGACTTAAGCAAAAAATAACTGGGAGATTAATCAGATAGAATTCTAACCCAAAATGCAAAGAGAACCCAGAATATAATACAGACTTCTTCATACAAATTTATTACACTGCTAACAGAAATCCTAATACAGGCCAGTCATTAAAATTATCTTCCTATATGAATGACAACACATCATTTTCACACTATCAATTACTGAAAAAGTTTTAAAACTAGACCACTGGAGGAGGCAGGTCCTGCTGTAGGTACAAGTTTTACTCTCCTACTCTTGTCAAATAACTTCACAACCAAAATATAAGCAGAATGATACTTCTTTATACTGCTTTCATCAATCATTCAGAAACTGCTCTATATGGAGGGGACTTTTCTTCAGAGACTTAGAACTCTCTGTCAAGCAGAGAAAAATGATGCTCTAACGTCACATTGTTTTAACTATGGAAAACAATGTTACTACATACCCCTCTCTCCTTATTTTAGGGATAAATTACATAAGAGCAGGGAAACGCACTTAATTGTAATTATGCAAGTTAATTAGAATCCTACTTTACAAAAGAAACCCTGAAAGGTGAATATTAGTCCTGTACTATGTTGGTATGCATGTCTGGTACTTCATCTGTATTAAATGCTTCAGTAATACAGATGAAAAGAAACCAAAGAACGTGCTACGAATGAAAAATATTTAAACTTCAGGTTTTTCATTCGGCTATTACTCTCTAGAAACATAGCTATTACCACTATCAGAATCCTTATTATATTCTTTTTTAAATCGTGTTACTTCCAAATACCCATTTTTGAGTTGGTTATTTAAATGTTAAATAATTTTGAAAGTAATTGTTTGAAACAGTTTTTTGTCTATATGTACATTTAACACAAGTAATCATTAGTAAAGTCGGTTTTATGTAAACGGGGCTTAAAAAAGATTACATTTGTTCAACACCCACCAAGAGGTAGGCACTGAGCTAGATGATTTACTTACAATATCTCATTTAACCTTTATACCAGCCTGGGAAATAGGGATGATTTTCCCAGTTTACACATTAGGAAAAGTGATACTCAAGAGACTTTAGACACTAGGAACTGGCAGAGATGGACAAAGCCAGGTTTGTTCAACTCAAAGACATCTTTACTCTCTTGGATCAACAGCAACTTTTGTGTCAAGAAACTTTATGAATTTAATCATAAGTTTATCAATAAAACAGCTGGAGTTAAATATTTTTGCTAAAAATAATGGGCACAAATAAGTGACTATCAAGTTATTTACCTGTGTAATTTACTATGTATTTTGCAACTGATTGAATACAAAATCATAATCTCACTTGATTTGTATAACCACCCAATAGGGTGAATACTTTCAGATGAAGAAACTCAGGCACAGAGAGATTAAGCAATTTGCTGGCTTGCATGTGGCAGAACATTTGCACCCAGGCAGTCCAACTCTCCAGCCTGAGCTCAGACCTGCTGTACGGCCCTGCAAGGCACGGCAGGGCACTGCCTTCTCAAGTGGACCCTAGACCTAAGACAGCCTCTTATAATTAGTCTTATTTTCATACTCTACATATTTCTGAGTTCAGGTGTTTTTAATTTCCTAGAAGCCCACATATCATATACACATATATAACTCTTTTACGTACTAAAATACACACAGTAAGACTGGCCCCAGTTTTTATAAATCAGGAAAAAAAAATAAACCACCAAGTATCTAGTTCTAGACTGTAGACTAAGATCAAATTTAATTTCTGGGCCTTAAACTTTTATTGAACATGAACTGATCTGTGTATAAAAAGGAACACACTGAGGGAATTTACTGCTTTAATTCTTGTTGATTTATCTAAATCCACTGTTAGGATCTGAACATTTTATTTTTAAGTAAACATTTTATAATAAAAAGTATGTACTATGAACTTCCATTAAAAACCATGCACAAAACAGAAATCTGAACAAATAAGGTATTTTCAGTTTGAATAGTTAAAAAAAAAAAAAAGAAACGAAAACCTTAAACCTCTAAAATGCAGAAGATGGCTCTTGCAGGATGCAAGCAGAGTAACCAGCAGTAAAGCTACAGAGATTAATGACTACCCCTACAAGTAGGCAGGGACATTTGTTACCCAAGTCTACAAAGAAAAGAAAGGATAACATCTGACAAAACAATAGTGAATAGGCTTTGTAAAGCTTTCACAACTTTGATGTGTAAACAATGGGAGGAAATGCTTTCTTTGCACTAAATGGTTTAAATCCTTTCACTTCAAAAAATATTTTGTTTCAGGAGGAATATATTTAAATTGCCCATTCCCATGAGCTGCTATCAAAAACAGCAGAAATGATGCCTGAACCTCCATTAGACAAAGAATGATTGGGACATAATAAACCCAAGGCCTTTGTCTAATCAACTGCAAGTCCTAGAATAAAAGATATTTGCCCCTAAATGCTCAGAAGCTAAACACAGAGGCTGTGTAAACTTAGACCCGGTGTTCTACTATTGCTCTCCCCTTTACTCTTTGAATACTCTGTTTAGAACAAGACCACACTGACCTTGTACTTGTGTATAAGTACAGTATGAAAATCCTTTTCTTTGGGTCGGTGGTTTTCAAATACAAAGCTGTATCACTAGGTGATAGCCTATAAATTACTATAAATAAGAACAGAAACCTTAGCTTCAGGCCATTTTCCATTGTTTCAATCTGCAACAAAAATGGTTACAAAGCAGACTAGTGAAGCTAACAACTAAAGAAAAACCAACTAAGCAGGGGCTTCCAAGACAAACTGGAGTACCTGAGTATCCTTGGTAGATTCTGCGTCAGAGCCGGCACACCGGTAGAAATAGAAAAGTGCACAAGCAGCAAAACAGAGAGAGATACTAAAATAGCAGAATTAATGACCACCGCCCCGCCAACAAAGCCAAACACAAACAGCAGCATGCATCCAGGACTCATGGCGCTGTGCTGGCATGGTGAAACACCGGAACCAGGAGGCCTACACAGGGGCCAAAGGGATATCTTTGTAGTAAGGATCTGTCATTCAGCTGCTGCTACAAAAACAATGCCATCAGCAGCAGCTTTCCACTCCATCCTGCAGCAGCTCCGAGGCAATGACATCACCCCGCTCTCCCCGCCTCATAACCATAGAGCTGCTGCTCCTAGCATTTATGCAGCAACCCAGAGAGACAGCCAGCCTATTGACTATTTTCCCCTCCACTAAAAGTCCTGGCTTAGCTCATTGGCTACAATGCCCGGAGATCTACATAATTTATTCACACTCCTACAACAAACAAACGGCTCGCTAGCCCTTTCAAACATGCCTCTCTATAACAAAAAGGACTTTAAACCAATTACATACAGGAGAAAGGAACATTTTTCAACATCCCCACAAATCAGAAAAATTTAAGCCTAGTGTAATCTCCTCAAGTATTAGAAAACAGTCAAATATCTCAATATGCTGCTAATATGGCATGTCTCATAATTTATCTTTTTAATAGTGAAGGCTGTTCCTATTTTTCTATGTTATTCTCTCCTATAGCATTCCAATCACAGGGGAGAGCTTTTTGAATAACCCTAACTATTGTTCCAGGATTAAAAACAGAGAAAAACTGAAATAAACAGATTATTTATTTCGCTTTTTCTTAAGGCAAAATGCACAACAAAGCTTACCTAATTCTACTATGAGCTGTGGATTCTAGTTGATCACTCCCTGAGAGCTGATGAAGTTTTGTTCTTTCTAAGTGTTCCATATAATTATGGATCATCTATTTTAAAGAAAGAAAAAAATACACAAAATTTAAGACTAATACCTGGAATGAAAATGTAGTGTTACAACAAGGGAAATATTTCTGGTCCAATTTTCGTATTTATCACACTACCCAATCCCATGTGAAAGAATATTAAAGAATGAAATTTTTTTAACAGCAAAGCAATATGCAAATGCTTACATTTAAGGATGCTGATGTTCATAAAAGTAACCAATATCTTGTTTAGCATGATATAATATTGATATAAATAAAACAAATTAGGATATAAACACTGAGGAGACGGTGATGAGAAATCACTGGTTAAAAATAATAGACGACATTTGAGAAATCCATTCACTAAAATGGGAAACAACATGGAAATTAATGTGAAACTTGAGAAGAAACCATATCTTTACGTGGTGATCTTTGCCACTTTACAAAGAATTAACAGGGTGAAAGTCATTTTCAATTTAAACTGATTTAACTTAATACAAAGATGTTTATTTCTTGTATCTGTATATTTAGCTGAAAGAATGCTAAAATATTTTCTCCTTTGACTGCTAATTCACTTGTATCATTACTTAATACAATAAGCAATATTATCAGGAAATTAATACAAATGACAAAAATCAGAACACTGATTTTGAATCTTGAAGAATCGTATGACAGAAAAGCTGAATATGGAATTAAAACCTTCAAGTATATATATAAACTGTCAATAAATTCTAAGGTCCTATATGATTCTTGATATCTAATGTTTTACTTTTAGGAAACCTAAATCTGGAATTAAAATATGTAAAATGCAAAAAATTTCAATCATAAAATGAAAAAGCCTTTGCTAGATACTAACATAATATGAATAAGAAAAAAATGAAATTGAAAAAATAAGTAAATGTATGTTAGTATTTCAAAGGAATGTAAATATTAAGAATAGACCAAAAAAGGCGGATGTCCAACTGAGTCCAATACAACTAGATGCTGTCCAGCTACCACCACTGACTGCTCTGACAGGGATCACAATAGAGGGTCTTTGACAGAGCTGGAGAAAAATGTAGAACAAAATTCTAACTCACAAAAAAAGACCAGACTTACTGGCCTGACAGAGGCTGGAGAAACCCCGAGGGTATGGCCCCTGGATGCCCTTTTAGCCCAGTAATGAGGTTACTCCAGAGGTTTACCTTTTCGCCGAAGATGAGACAGACCCATAGGACAAAACGAGAATAAATGGGCACACCAGCCCAGGGGCAAGGACTGGAATGCAGGAGGTGACAGGAAAGCTGGTAACAGGGAACCCAAGGCCGAGAAGGTAGAGCACTGACATGTCATGCGGTTCTTAACCAATGCCATAAAGCAGTAAGTATACTAATTGTTTAATGAGAAGCTAGTTTGTTCTGTAAACCTTCATCTAAAGTTCAATAAAAAAAAAAAAAGCTGTAAAAACAAACAAACATTACACCTAGATATAACCAAAAAAAAAAAAAAAGGCTGATGCCTTTCTTTGGAATATTACTTTAATTCTTAAAACTGCAGCATGTAATATCTTTGGAAGTTACTCAGCTTTAGGTATGTGAAGATGGGATGGGTTTCAATCTCAATATAACTCAAAAGAAATCAATCAGATGGATGCCTACTTAAGACTAGTCCAAACAAGAAATGTATAAGGCAAAGAAAACAGAATCACATGGATATGGTATGCTAAAACATTTTTTATTTTAAATTTACGTATGTTTTATTTAAAATATACAAATTTTCTTTTTACCACCATTAAAAGGACAGTTTTCCAGAAATACAGCTTTTGTCTTTATGTAAGCAAGTCAGAAATAATAAGCTGTTTTCTCCTTTTATCAGGAATAACTTTCAGGAAAAAAAATTAAACTGAGACTAATATAACAAGGTGATTGTTGAGCCTAGTAAGTACCAATTTAAATTCTCATAAGGTTTTAAAAAACCTAAGTCGACTCCTTATGTGCTGGGTAGTAGTCATAATAGAACTGATCAGTTCAAATGGAAGAATCTAAGTTTCTTTAAGCATTCAAATGAAGAAAACAGAAAACTCCTCTAGATTGCTTTTATAGTAATTAACCTATTTAATCAATTATAGAAAAAGAAACAGAATTACCAAAAAATACAGACAGAATCAGTTGTCCCAACAGCTCATTCTGTCTTAAGTATTGAACTCTGATATTTAAACAAAAAAAAGGGAAATTAGAAAATGCTGAATTCTAAATCTTCTCAAATAACTAATCCCAAGTAATTGCAGGTTTAATATTTTGATGTTCCATAATGGTCCATAAAATGAAATTGGTTCCAACTTAACTAAACTAACACTTAACAGGAAAGAAGAACAACAACAATAAAATGGCAGCTAACATTTCCTGAGCACCAACCACATGTCAGCCACTACCGGTACAGCCAGTGTTTCATTTAATCCTCACAACAATATCACAATCTTATAGATAAACGCCAGTTTACAAAGGTTAAAGTAACCTGCCCAAGTAGACCAGCTAATTAACGATAAACTCTGTTTAACTGTGTCATACATAGCTACATGGCTCTGTAACCAGAACTCAGGTCTGTCTGACTCCATCATCTGAGCAGTTAAGCTTTGTAGGACTCATGCTCTATCTGCCCTTTCAGTCAATTCCTTAGGCAGGCAATGAGCTCATTGTCCTTTTTCCTCACACCCACAAGAAAACCCCACACTCTAAAGCATTTCTTGCCATCTGAAAAAAAATGATATGTACTATATTCTATAAATGCACAAAAAAGTAGAAAAAATACACGGCACATAAAACATAAAAATTTAAATTTTAATAACAGGGCTTCACAGTGCAGCTCTGGTTAAAAAAAAAAAAACAAAAAAAAAAACAGTGGGAGGGCAGGATCGGTGCTGCCAGATGGAAAAGAGAGAGGCAAGAGAGTAAAATCTACTGTTGGGTCCTCTAGCTCCATCTCTCCTGGCCTCAGAACTGTAATTATTTTTCTCATGTATGCACATTAATTCACACACATTCATCAGTCAATTCAGCAACAAACAGCTGAAGTCATCAAGAGGGTCCCAAGTACAGTGTCTGGAAAGTCCTAGTTTGGGATAGGGTCCAACTTCCTTGACCCCAGAGATTATCTTCACATCAGAAGTTGACCGTCAGCTTTGGCTGAAACCGAAAAGCAAGGCAGTGGTGAGGTTTTAGAGACAAGCAGCATGTATCCTTTTAATGGTGCTGGCCTTGAATCTTTCCATATGTAGCCCAAGAATCACTAAATCCACAAAGCCATTGCTCTTAAAGCTGCTGAGATGCCATAAAGCAATGAGGCACAGAAAAAAATTCTAGTGCCTTTAACAGAGAATCCAAAAACGTTAGAGTGCAGGCTATGGAATCACATAGATCTGGTTCAAAACCAGTCATTTGCTAGCATGGGATTCGGAGCAAATCATTTCATATTCTCTTTTGATATTTCAGTCTGTAACATGGGGATTATAGTGTCTGTTCAGAGGAATCAGTGTGAATGCATGTAAACACTCCCTGGTGTGAGATACTCCCCAAGGTTGCAGGGGGTTCACTTTTTTGGTTATTAGCATAAGAGGATGTACACATGTGGCCTGACTACTTCACAATTACTTGATATTTGTATTTCCTCCAATGCTCTCTTTAAGGGCGTGTCTTCTTTTAAGCAAATTTAGTAACGTACAAAATTTTGGATTTGATTAGAGAAGACTTATCTGCATTACAGAATCATAGTAGGTTTCCCTTAGGCAGCAAAAATGTGTTTGATAGAAGTTCTATTTAAACAACTTTTTTTGGGCCTGGAAAAGATGTTACCTTCTTTGGAAGTAATAATGAAAAGGTTAAGGTTAAATCCTTCTGACTTCCTTTCCCTGAAGACTTCCAGAGTTTGCCTTTAAAGGGCATCTATTTCTTTAGCATTAGACAGATATTTATAATTGCTAATTGAATGACATTTCTAGTACAGATGTATAAACACAAAAAAACGTGGGCTACAGTAAAACAGACCCACATTTTAAAGCAATCATATCTTAGTGTTACATAAAACTTCCTTGAGGCAAAGTAAAATAAAGGGAGCCTATCAGGACAGAGGATGGAACTGGCTTGTAATGAAGGCAGGGGATCCTGCTGCATGTGAAATCTGCCTTGGTTACTGGATATGCCCAGCTCTCTGACTTGGCAATAAGATTTTCCTGAAATCTTTTTTTCTTCCTAGATTCTCCTTCTCTGAAGGAATAGAAATAGAAAAATTATTACATGTTTTCATTTAAAATTGAGAAGTCAGTTTTCTTCCTAAAGAAACATATTTTCACTTATTTAAAAAATGAGAAAAATATGAAATTTCACTTTACAGTCAAATTTTTAAGAACACATATATCTTATGCATACTTCAATTTAACATATCATGGTTTAACAATCCTCGATTATTACAAAGGCTAGGACTTTATTGAAAAACAAAAGCATTATTCATCATTCATCACTGTCACTTATTTATAGCATATAAACATATTCCTCTAAACATATTTATAATTATCAGTCTTGACAGCACTACAAAGCACATGCTATGTACAGGGCATTGTTCAGACACTAAAATGAATGGTGCAAAAACAGTCAACAACAAAACCTTTAGCAATCGTTTTTTAAGAGCCTTAATACCCATCGAATACCATCTTATTAAAATGTGGGTCTTTTTTACATACTGAAAAAACTGCTGTGTGAGCTGCTCTTATCTTTCCACAGCTCTAGGGTTCTGGATCCTTTGCGGTCAACCTTTTCCCTTTGCCAATGGGTAGCGGTTCTGTGACATTTCATGCTGCACGTGTGGCTACATAAGCCAGGATAGTAATATTCAAACCTCATGTGTTAGGGCCAAGAGTCAGGAATAAAGTCCAACCCAAAACAGAATAAGCAA